CCCGTCCATCTTGACACCTCTAGGTCAATGGGGACAGCTGCCCCATACCCACAAAGTTTCTCCGAGGGTTCGTTTGATTGCAAGTGTAGAATTTTGGTGGAAAGAAAATGAATTATAGGGAATTGAATTGTCTAGAAATTTGTAATTAATTGTGTTTGATTGACATAATTTGCCACCTGAAAAATGTTGAAAGTTTGGTGTCTGTTTGACTTTGTTTTACATGGAACTTGTCAATAAAAATGATAAATTTTTTTACCATTGTGTCCAGAATTTTTTCTAATTACCAAAAAAAAAATAAAGGTGGAAAACCAAAAACCACCAAAACAACAAGAAAACAATTTCATTGAAAAGTGGGAAAAGGAGGCGCGTGAGTGAAAAATTGGAAAGTGAATTCCATGGAAAATGTTGGCTACCAAACAGCCCAAAACTTGGGAAATGGAGAAAATTTCAGGTTTCAAACAGGGCCTAAATGTTTAAGTTCCTTCATATCCATCCACAACCTTTTGTTAATTTTGCCTCTACAATTACAATTTTTTATTACAAGATCTTGTCCCTACGATTTTAGTTATAGACATTTCTCACACAACTTTACAATTCTAGCTCTGCCCTTTGACTGACAATTTGTTGCTTGAACTTTTTTCTAGACCACCTAAAATATCGACCTTACAGGTAGCTTAATCTATGATGGTGTGATAAAGCTGACATAAAGCCGATGAAAAGGACAAAACAGACTCATAAATCAAGGTAGTGCTAGTGAGGTGAAAAACAAAATCAGCAATAAAAAAAATAGAGCGACATGGACTACATACATTTGAGTGATTGCATAGTTAATGTAGAAGTGTGGGTCAAGTCGATGAAGCACGAAGATAGCATTTGCAACGATGGCAGCTTATAAGTTCTTCCACCCATAACTTGAGTTCAAGAAAATGTGGCACCTTTTCACTAGAGATTTGGCCATGACGTTATAGGGGATATAATGGATTGAGATAGTTACTCAATACGATCCCCCTCGAGTAGAGATTTCAAACTTGATGATAAGAATTAAAAAAAAAACACACACACACATTTACATATGTATATTCAAGTTTCACTTTTTTACATGTAATACTCAAACGACTTTAACTATGGTACATTTTTTTTTTTTTTTGAGGTTAGGCATAGCCCCCAATAATGTTTTTCTTTTGTTATTAAAAAAACACCGAACACGGTCAATTTGCAAAAATGATAAATTAAACTAACTTAATTTATTCATAAATAAATAATTTACATAGGTAACTCTAGAAAAAAAATTAAAAAGAAAATACATAACTATAGAGGAGACGGACCTCAACTCCAGCTAATGAGAGAAACAAAGATAAACGAAATCAATCGACTAAGAGCCTTGTAAAATGTATAATTTAAATTTCGAGTGTGCTCTCATCATGCATACACCGTGCGGTTATTTTTATCGACTCATGATCGCTTTCATAATTACTGTCTCCATGTCTAAAAGCCTTTTGAGATTGTTGTAGGTAGAACCCCCTTCTTTAACAGCTTGTATAGCCAAATGTCTCCATTTAACAGCATTTTCTTTCATTTCATTACCTCTATCTCCACCCCCCATCACAATGTCCAAGCATTTCTTGAGTTCTCCTCTTTCAATAATACTTTCCCCATTTTGTTTTGCTCTCACTCCAATGGCCCAAGCCTCCTCCACCAATTTTGCATTCGTCGGTTGGTCGGAAAACTGTGGGCAGCCAATTATTGGTACTCCAGAAACTATTGTTTCCAGTGTTGAATTCCATCCACAATGTGTCACAAAACACCCAATGGACTGGTGGCTTAGAACTTCAACTTGTGA